CACCGGTGGCGATTCTGCCGTGTTGCGTGCCGTCCAGAAGAGTTTCTCGTTTCGCGGCAAAGATGAACAACGTGAGCACTCGTCTTACTAGGAGTCTCTCGTAGCTATGAACACTTTCTAGCTATGAACGACTCCTAGCTAGAAGCAAGCCCATGAGATGAGGTAATGCCAGGCTGAGATAAAATGAAGCCAACCGATCCGGCGGATCGGTTTCTCACGTTTCCGCGCGTTGACACACGGATATATTATAATATTAAAGTCTCGTCGATATGGGTGTGTCTATGAAACAGAAATAAATTATTCATGACTTCTGCGACAACCGCTGTGGTGACTTGACAACCATGTTTTGAGCAATTTTTACGTTTACGTCCGCGGACGAGTGATGATTGCGAATGCATAATATGCGGATGGATTGTTAAAAAGCCTCGACCACGCAGTACTTTCTCACGTCGTCGTCCTTATCTATACGCGTAATGATGAATGTAAAAGTTTACACGGGCGTGCGTACGTAGATCGACTCTTCTGGCTCGCTTCGTCGGTGATGACGGAGGATACTCCGAGCCTGTCATTACGCAATAGATAGTCAGCGAGTGATCGATTTCGAGCTGTCGATTTTTATGACTTACATTCGCTGCGAATGAACGCACGGACGAACGAACGAACGAACGAACGAACGAACGAATGAACGATTGAACGTACGCACTAACTTTTCTGCCCCCGACGTTCTTCCAGTCTACTTTGGTTTTCTCTTTTTTCCTATACTTTAAAAGTGATTTACCTAAATACGTGCGAACAGTCACATTTTCGTGTGCACTACATTTGCGTATATGTATATATATACATACATATATGTATGTAGATATATGTATATATATGTATATATATAAATATAATATGTATATATATATTACTTCGCAATAGGTACTCTCTTTGTTTAACGAATACAATGCTCTGTATAAAACTCGTATTTACAAAATGTGATCGATTTATATAATATTAATATTTCTGTGTATTTTTTTTCTCTGTATCTCTCTTCTCTCATTAAATCCCGAGATGCCTGCGCGTCGGTGCTCTTTATTTTTATATAACGATTTCTCATCTATTTGGTAAAGTTATACGCGATATAATAAGTGCCCGCCGATAACGCAAGTAGTCATCCTGCCAGAGGATAAAGAACGCCGTAATCTTTAAACGGTCATTTGTAATGTTAACGGCAATAAAGATAATAATAAAGGTAATAAAAATTTCAGTGAGACTAATAATAATAATGGTCGATTGTGACGTCTGCGGGGAATTGGCGCGTCCCGTGCGACGTGCGAATGTCGATTTGCGCTTACACTGCACGCGTTCTCTCTCTCTCTCTCTCTTTTAATATTCGGCACAAGGAATCGCATCGAGTGATTGAATTATCGTAGATGAATGCGCTTGGTTGCGAGTGTTTTCCTGCTACTAAATCTCCAACGTTGGACCGGCAAAGTTTCCTCGCTTCGAATATCTATTGAGATCAAGCAAACGTATACGTTAGAAATTTATTTGAGCGTCATACGAATGTCTTATACAAATAACGCGGTAGCAAGGGACTTTTCTCGATAGCGTCACGATGAATAAACGAGTGAAACGAACAAAGAATGCATCTAAAAGATCACGGCGGCGGATGCGCGTCGTGTATACTCGAGAAATTAATGCGCGATCGATCATTCTCAATTATAACAGGATCGTTCATCATCGGTCATCATTACATTAACGGTTGATGAATTAGTTTAATATCGCGCATTCGAGGGGGGGGGGGTGTCGTTCGTTCGCGATTTCGAAGCTTACGTGTCGCGCGAGAGTGCGTACGGCGCGTTTCATATCACGTTAATTATTTCGTTATCCGTAGAATTAATTAATTATTACGTTATTTAATTATTTGCTTTACTTTACACCTAATTGTACGTCTATCTAAGGAAGAGTTCTCCACCGTCTCCGACCGTGGACGCGCCAATTCCCGCCCGCGTGTCCGCCCGGCTTAAAGTTTCAGCGTAAACAATAGGCACGCGTATATGTCACCATACGCGCGAATAAATGCATATAGCTACCATAGAATATATCACAACAATAAAACGAGTTAGATCCTCTCTCTCTCTCTCTCTCCCCCCTTCCTCCCTCTCCCGTTATTATAGAGATTCCGAGTAGATAACGGATGTACAGTTATATAAATTGCACACAACGCTTCCGGTTGGGGCGGACGTGGAGAAATGTATCAATACTTATATATTATGTACGAGCGCAGCCGAAGAAAGAAACGAACGAGGGCTGGGCACGCGATTTGCGCCTTCTCGCGCACGTAAAACTCGCGGCGCCGTCGTTTGCATCGTCGCGTGATCGCGATCGTGAAGCGGAGAACGCGGGTGCGGAACAAAGTCGCCGAATTAACGCGCCAACGGGATGGACCGCGGGGGGGTGGATCGTGTCCGCGGTGGCGGATTATCGCGGCTGAATCTCGCGAATACGCGGGATGTGAGTCTGCCCGGAGAGGTGTCGCGTGATCGCGGCCGCCGGTGCCCGAAAAAGTCCGGGGGAGCCGCGCGCGGAAGAGTAGCACCGGTATAATCTCGACGGCGTGAACACTGAAAAGTCACCGTTGTTGTTTATTCGCGACAACGGGCGAGCGCAGAATCGAAATTATACCGGCCTCGCACCGTAACCCTAAGTACGATCCACTCTATATACGTGGGAATGTAAAATTGACATAGATACTTGAGAATTTTCAGAGTCACACCCTATTTATGGTCCTAGAATTACTCCCGGTTTTGTACGATATAATGATTCAGAGAAGACAATCGTTTTTAAAAAAACATCTACACAGCCGTTAACGTACCTAAGAGATCTATCAACTGCTAGATGTCTTCTGAATGTCTTACAAACTGTTTTGGCGACGTTTCTCATATTGTTTAGACTTTAGTGAATTATATTTAGCGGAGTATTAAAATATAATCTATCGATATAAACACTAGTGCTTTCAACTTTAAACGGCTTCGACGGTTCGGTGACTTGAAGAGGTGCTTTATATTTTTCTCTCTCGATTGCTAAAAATTTAAGTGTTGCTTGCTCGGCGAAAAGGAGCGTTGCCAATGAAATTTAAGTATGTGGTGTGTTTCTCAGCGAGTAGCAAGTATATGGCGTAGTCGCTTATACTGAGAAAAATCGCAAAATTCCCTTTCTCGATGACGGAGTCGATAAGGTTGACCAACGTTACATCTAAAAAATTGCACGGTTCAGCGGTTTTTTTTCGCATTGATAAAACGTGACGCTCGGAATATGACCATCCCTCCTTCGTTTCTCTCGAATAACGGAGGTGGACAGTGGACCAAGGCGGAATCCTGGACTACGGATTACTTATTTCCATAATGAATTCTCGCGGAGCGCCAAGGCGGGGATCTTCTTGCGAAGTACAGTAGCGAGTGACAGTAGCGTCTGGTAAACGGACTATTTGGCGATTGCGAAGTAGAATGGAGGACGAGAATGGAGAGGAAGAGTAAGAGCGGTGGCATAGAAGGGATGAGAAAGAGTCAGAGGGTGGGTTGGGCGTGTCAGCTGGTCGATATCCTGAATGGCAAGCTTCCACGGCCCAGCTTGCAGTCAGCCGCTACGTCCGAGGGGCAAGAGAGAAGGCCAGCAAAAAGAGAGCTTGCATGTATATATGTATATAAAATGTTGCAGAAGTTTTCCACACTTCTCCTAAATCATAAACACCAGACGTCCAACTAAAAAGAATGTCGCTCGATTGTTCTTATATTACGAGCGCTTGAAGATTCGGGTCTCTTGGAGAGATAAATTTTTGAAATAAATACAAGACAATAAAACTTTGCTGCTCGGCGAATTTTAAATTGAGCCTGATAAAGTTTTAAGTTTAGCTATTGAGCTGTACGATCGTGAAGATTACAAAAGCGGGAGATAACGTATAATCCAATCTTTGGCGGGGAAAAATTAGCTACATTTAAAAGAAAGTGCTTTGCTACTAGGCAGCTTATGTATGAGAGGCGCCGAGAAGAAAGTTCCGAGTGTATAGGTTTTGGAAAACTTTTTGTGTAAGTGATCGATGGTCTGTAATGGCAAACAGGATTTCAGAAGGTACGATCGGCGTGTGCGCAGCATCCGAGGGAAGTGGAACGCCGTGCAATTAACGTTAATTAAATTGACAAAACATTGGGCAACGAAACACGTTGAAACAAGAAGACCGTTGTAAGCTCGGAGAGCACAACCCGCACAAATAAAAGCGATTGCATTTCACCGTCTTTCTCATCTTGCATAAATAACTACAAAGGATGTGTCGACGGGATTAGCTACGAATTAAATCGATAAAGTCGAGCGCGGCTGCGTTGATTTTGCCATTGTCACACAGGCGATAGACGAAGCGTGTAATTTCAGGATAACAATCGCGGTTTACTTCGATCAGGCTTGTTTCGCCGCCGTTGTTTTTCAATATACGATGAAACGAGAAACATGCCCGTGTTTTACACGTTAATTAAGTATTAATTATCCTCAAAAATAAACACGAGCACCGGAGCCTGCATTCTACCTTGGCCCGTTGTCCCTCTCGTATTTCTCGACCTCGATTGGAGCGTTCTTACGTCCGATCTATAATCATTATACGTCCCGGGAGTTCCCCTACGTAAACAGTCGCGACTACGTAGTACGAGCTAAGAGTACTCCCGATTGAGCCATGTGCACACGCACGTACACGGCGTGCAGAGACGCCCCGGGACGAGTTGACGATAGTTGGCCGATCCCGGTAGCGGCGACGCGAGTCGTACGCATACACAGAAATACAAAAGTATCGCGTCGTGAAAAATCGTAAAAAAGTTCTACGAAATGAAACGTGACCTGGCTCTCGCTTGGCCGTAATCCAAATAAATTGCGGATGCTGAAGTGAGGGCCGCTACCGCGTAACCCGAGCCGCCTACGTCGTGGGCGTCCCGCGTCGCGTTATCCTCCCTCCCTCCCAACCCCTTCGCTCACCACCGCCGTTATCTTTGCGGACCTCGCGTAGAATCGTTCACCGATCGGCTGTACGCGTCCCGCGTACGCATGTGTGCACGCACGTGTCTAATATGCATGCACGCGCGTACCTAACGTGGCCGCGTACGCGCGCGCGTATATATGTTAATGTACATATACTTACTGTACTTACTTAGATAATAAGTCGCACCAGTCTCCGATAGTACATTGTTTTTCTTCGTTCGGAATATGAACTTTCCCGCCGTTTCTTTTTTTCTTTCTTTTCGTTCCACGCGCACCCTCACTCACACATTAACGCTCGCTCGTTCTCACACATGCACTCGCTCCCTCTCATTCGCTCGCATGCACGCGCACACATGCCACCGTGTGCGATTTCCGCTAACGTTTTCTCTGCGCGCGAACGCTGCTGACGGCGTCAGAGCGACGATTCATCCTCGACCTCGACGAACGTCGATAATCCTATATTTTTCCGTTCTCAAGCTGCTCTCGATTGAATCGTCGCTTCAAACCGACGTGTCTCGGTGTTGTTCTTAGCGTTAGTTAATGTTACTATGTAATGTGGCTAAATTGACAAGTGTTTATATCGAAGGTATTTTCTCCGTTTAAGAACTAGAGATACCTAGACTGGCAATGTTTTATGGTATGTATGCTCGTGGATTCGCCTTCGCGATTGAGCTCCTGCTTGCCTTTCCGCTTGCGTCGCGACATATATATTTCTATCGCGCGACGTATCTATATATATATATATATTTATATATTTATATTTATTTATGTATATATATTGAGTCTTTAACGAAGACGCCTCGTGGACAGCGACGATAGCCGAGGCTTACGCGTGCCCGATCGCTGATTGACGAACAACGGGCCTCTTGCCCGGGTAGAAATTGCGGTAGCCACGACGCCGCGCAAGTAGTGGAAGCGCGCGTTTGATAAGCCACGCCGAAGCGACGTGGCGTCCGACGAGTCGTTCGGCCGTTTCTACTTGCCAGTCACCGCGAGGTAGTCCTACTCCGCGTCTAGGCGGCCGCGCGGCTGCCCGTATTCGTCCGCTACTACTTCCAGTAGAGAAGGTGGTTACCGCGCTCTCTCGAGACGGACCTGAGCGTATGTTTTTTGTTTTCTGAGAGCACCTTTTTCTGCGAACTGGTACGGCTGTCTCGGATGTCGTTCGCTTTTACTACTCGCTCCTATTACGCCTGTCCTGAAGTAGTCACCGAGCACACCTCGATTTATCCTCCTCGAGCCGCTTTCGCCTCCACTTTGGCGAATCGGCCCTCGTCTCGTTCCCACGCGTAAGAATGCTCGCTTCCGTGCACCCTTTTGCCCGGTTCTTCCTTCTCGATTCGGAGCACCGCGACGCCGTCGTTTACTTGGCCTCCTCGAGCAGCACGAGGTCGTCCGCGACCACGTCGCTGATGTGGAGGTAAATGATCCAGTACATCAGATTGAAGCAAACGAAACATACCGGGAATACGATGCGGGAATACTTGTCGATGTCCGACGGCGTTATGCCTATTTAAGAAACGTTAAATTCACTTAGAATAGTTGCGGCGCACAGTGCGGGGGGAAGAGAATTGCATATTTCAGTGAGCTTCCGAGTTCGCGCGGTGCCGTTTACCCCACGGGGGGTACAAAAGCAGTCTAATAGTGCATCGTAATGCTTGAAAATAAATTGTACAAATGTCTCTTAAGATGCGAGAAGCTTTTTATGAGATGATCAGTGACAAGCGTTTTCGGACGTGTTTTAAGCGTAGATAAATATGTATCTATATATATATGTGTATATATATAATACAACGGCCGGGCGCAGGCGCGTGGTATCATCGGCCATGAATATTGCATAGTCTTGGCAAAGTTCAAAGTACTCGATATCCATATTGCACAATTGACGGCCTTGTCAGGCCCTTTACCCGACGATGACACCACGCCGGTGGCCTTCCGAGCTCGCTGACGGTTAAACCGTACAGTAACGTTTATTCAGAAGCTCGTTGAAATAGACAGCCTGCCAAGCTAAGAACCGAATATTGTTTGATAGCTTGCCAGGCGGGGGGGAGGGATTAAAAAGTGTTATAAATGTGCGTACATGGTCTACTCATACCGTAGAGCTTGGTGATGTCCTTGCTAGGATGAATAATATGTTGCGGCGCGCCCGCCGATTCCTCATCGGCGCGACCATTTATGGTGTTCTCGAGTGTCCCACCTTTGCTGTGTGCCTTTGGGTCGTGCACCTTGAACCGCACCTCCTGGACAACATGGGACCACTTACAAGAGACACGGCATTTCGCCGTGGGGTGTCCCTCACCCGAGGTTTACCCCGTACTTTGTCGGTTTGGCATGCGACACCGATGACTCGGCAGTGTGTATTTTATTTTCGTTCAACGCGGTGAGACGTCCAATTTTTACGTAGCAGTCATCGGTACTCGAGAGACTCACCTGCTTTTATGTCGCTGTCGCGACTCGCGTTTCTTAGTTTATGCGATTGAACGTTTAAGGATGAAATAGGGAAAGTCTCTCGTAAAAGAACAACCGCGGTTCGTAGAAACGCGCGGTGCGATTGCTCGTGCTCAAGCAGAACGGTTTAGTGAAAATTTCATTAAAAGCTCGTGTATATGTGATGCTAATAGATACTGTCGGGGTGAGATGCGGGAGAATCATTATTTCTTTTTGTTATCTGCTGGCACGCAATCGTTAGTCGTTATAAGAGACTGATATTCGTTTGATGTAAAATGGAATTATGAATACTGGCATTTAATTTCTGTCTTTTTAAAGTTAATATTAATGTCAAGACATTGTACGGTTTACGGTTCCCTACAGAAAACGGTAGGAATATTGTTGAAACTTTTATTACCTTTAATAGCAATTAGATTTTATTGTTAATATGCAATTTTTGAAAGCGCAACACTAGGAAAGTCACCAAAGGTATTAAATCCGATTTTAATATTCTTTTTGCATTTCGAAAAAAGCAAGTATAAAAATGTCGAAGGAAACGGAATGTAATTATTAAATGTGTAATTAAAAGTATCACGCAACGCCATTAGGTATTTACCGCCGGATAACATGAATAATTAACTTTGTAATAATAATTAATTAAAACGTCTCATCTTCTTATCCGACGCTTTACGACCGTCCTTCGTCTCGTCCGTCCCGTTCATCTCTGTCGCTCGTTTACTCACTTCTTTCCGCTCTCCCACATTGTCCTCTTTCTTTTCCGGTCTTTTAATATTTTCTGTTTTCCCGGAGAGGAAGGGGGAGAGGAGTCTACAATACCCAAGATTAAAAGAAAATTTATAGTGCGTCGTGTCCGTGTTGGCACGAAGCACGTTGTCGGGCGCGTTGCACGGCCGAATGGGAAATTCATTTCGCAGAACCTTTTAGCTTTTGACCTTTCGTGTGTCGAGCCTGTCGTTTTTAGTTCTCTTTTTTAAGGGGAGGGAGGGATAGAGTGCATATTTACATTGCGCGATGGTACGTGCTGAGCCGGATCGAGGATAATGCTCGGCTTCGTCCTGTTGAGCCTGTCGGTGTGACGAGAGAGAGCGCGGGAGAGAGAAGAGCTTGATTAGCTCGAATATTCCTTTATATCGTTGTCTATTAAAGATTCGTTTACTGTCGTCTATTAAGGAGCATTTAATGGCGATTATCACGGTACTCGATATTATGTCACTGTTTATAATTTCATTTACAATCTCATTTAGAAGTGACTTTGAGACTTCCTTCGCCGTTGACGTAGGCAGGACAGATGACATTTGTATGTGTATGTTTATATAATATCACACAGCTCTCGAGAGCCATAAAGTTGTATGAAACAAGTGCTACGATTATGCATAAATCTGTAATTGTGCGACAATCGGGACATCTGGACATCTTGACAGAGCCGATCGTCTCTACTCGCTGAAAGAAAGCGTGTAAAAAAATCGTCCAGGGGAGCGCTAGTACTGGATCTCCTGGTGATACGCGGTGAAAACGACATTCTGCATGGAAGAAAGAAAATTCGGGTACGACGGCAATCTCGGCCGTCGCTACTCACAGTTTGCTTAGGCGCATGATCGCCATGATCGCCGGGCACACGCGGCGGTCCTGGATTTTCGCTCGCGGCCTTCATGCTCTCGGCTATCTTTTGGAAGCGATTCTTCCGCATCTGAATCCTCTTCGCCATGTAGCCCACCGTGGCGTACTCTGTGAATAATAAGAATCCACGGGAATGAAAACACGTAACCATTCAATGCCATGACACGTCTGCCACTGTAAGATCCGGGCGGGAAGCCCGGTTCACGGGGCCCACTTCCATCCGTCGAGAATCTCACTCATGCTTGCGCTCCCGGTACTTGTGTAGAGCTCACGTGCAGATGGAAGAAAGCCATTTCCCTGGAAACCCGGACCCTACGCGGAACACCGCGACGGCGAAGTACCTTGATGTCGTTATGTAATGAGATACTCGCAATCGCAGTTGTGAAAACGCAGCAATGTGTGTGTGTGTGTCAAACCGGTATATGGCTAATCGATTGAACAAACCCGCGGGGCTCTCTCACCCGCGTTTGACCTTTCCCCCCTCTCGCGGTTGCTTCGCGGCGAAAACGATTTATACGAAACGTCGTTTCGTTCGTCATTCGGCAAAGATCCGGACTGACCAACATTTACGTCATCGGCGACAAGTAACGATTTCGAGGAAAATGGGTCCCTTGCATTTGTCACGTGAGCCCTGCACAAGTATCCGTCTACGATACTCTACGAGCTCGCTACTGGAACGGCACGGCTCCGAGCTATACGGAGTATATGAGAGGACGCAGGATGGAAAGCTTAATGGCAGCGACGTAAAGGCACGGAAGAGTACACGATCGCACTCACCGAGCAACGAGGCAAAGACCATGACGAAGCAGGTGCCCAGATAGACGTCGATGGACTTGACGTAGGAGATCTTTGGTAGCGCCGCGTTCGTCGAGGACATTAGGGTCGTCATAGTGAGCACAGTGGTTACTCCGAGGGCCACCCGAGCGGGGGTCGCGTTTCGGTTTAGCCAAAAGCTCACCCACGATATTATGACAATCAGCCCTGAGGGTATGTAGATCTGGATCAGGTAGTAGCCCATCGACCGTACGAACTGGATCTCGCAGGCCAGCCGCGAGTAATTCCCTACGATTAAAAGATCGAAGGTCAGGACAGGGAGACGGAGAGGCGCTATTTAATGTCTCTTTATCTCCCGTGCTCACTGTCCTTCCTCCTCACTGTTCGTTTATCTCTCTCTCTTTCTCGCTTTCTCTTCCCTTGCATCTCTCCTCTTTCTCTTTCTCCCTCTTTCTCTTTCTCTTTCTCTTTCTCCGTCATTCCCGCTTCCGCTCGTACGTCGTGCTCTTCTCTCTTCGAACTCTCTTCGTTCTTCTTGCTCGATCTCCCATTCGGTCACTGGCCTTTGCCAGGGAAAGCGATTTCATTGTTTGCGAGCAGCTCTCTCTCTCTCTCTCTCTATTCCTTGCACCGGTCAGAAATACGGCGCGCCAGAGCTGGCTGGATGTTAAGTGAAATTCGCATCGTTGATGCGCGACTCTTCGTGCTCATATTGTGTACGTCTGTCAGTGTAGATATGCATGCACGTTACAATGAGGTATACCGGCGGCGTGTATTGTGCGCCGATCGAGAGATTCGAGATGCAGTTGCGTAAGGAGAAAAATGAGGAGTTGATTGCAATGGAGAAAAAGTCATTCCTGCCGTAAACCCCATGGCTTTCTTCCGGTTTAACGAGAGAACTGGTGACACAATTTCTTTCTTGCGCGCCATTGTTGGGAAAAAGATATATCGAGGAGAAAGATACTGCTTTTGTTATTAGGACGATCGTTTACTCGTCCGCGATGAAATCAGAGAAGAGACAGAGAAGTCGAGGGTATATCGAAGGACGAGAAGCTTAATGCTGACGAGAAAAATCGCCGATGCTGTAATCTTCGACTCGAGTGTATCAGTACACCACATGGGTGCCAGGAGAAATTGGCGTAGAAGAGATCGACGTTAGAACCACGCCGTGACGGTAGTGAATGAAGACAACAATTTTGCTCAGCCAAAACCTTTCACTCGAACCAAGCGGAGGAATGTAGCGATGAGAAAATTCACCACCGCCGAACACGAGGAAGACGTTCTAGCCGGCAATCCGTTCGGTGCCAGCCAGCTCCGTTATCCAACGGAACCACATGACGCGCGAGATCGCGAGAAAGAGAGAGATCGATCGATCGATCGACGGCTTTACGTAAGTAAGGTACACAGGATACGACGGTTTGTCTTACGAGCGACAATTGCGCCTGCGGACATCGGATAGCGCTCACGTGTCTCTCCACCTTACCCATGCCGTTAAAAGCGAGGGTTGAACAATTATTTGTTGGTGGTGGGGGGTGGGGTTGTGTTTATACGTTACCGGTGGTAAGACTAATCTCCATGGCACGTTGACGATGACCGAGGACCTTGAACTGAGGCAGGGAGACCTCGTTGCTGACCCCGACGCTGTTTGGGCCCTCGTTCCACTTGTACCGGATGTCCCTCATCGTGTATCCGACTGAAAAAATAGAGAGACCCCCCGCGGTTGGTACGTACCTTCGCGGAAGCCCTCAAACGCATTTCAGCTCCGAGGGGGCCTCCACTTACCTCGCACCCCCATCAAACCTTACGAGTCCGCTCTCTTTCACTTTTTCCCCTTTCTCTCTGTTCACAATTTTCGTTTCCTTCTTTCTTTCTATCTATCTGTCTCTCTCTCAGTTTATCTTACTCTCTGTCCTTCTCTATGAGGGATACCCTTGAGAAGAGAGCTATCGAGAGCCCAAATTAAACTGACTTTAAAGGAGCATGTGGGCGGAATATCTGGCATGTAATGAGAGATCGTGATGGACGATCTTCTCGATTGTCGGGTACGATCGAGAAGCGGAAGGCGCGTATTTATCCGTATTTACGAGTCCGTTGTGTCGATTATTGTTTTGATGTTGTGGATAGTGGATGTTAGGTCAAAGGTGAACGTAATACTATTCCTGAAACCCATTAGCAACTCGTACGCTCGAAGGTACGTTATAGAGACGTGGAAACCCATTTAGCCGCGTATTGCGCGAAAATCCAAATTTAAAGCGCCGAAGAGATCGAAACGTTTCATTTTACATCAATACTGTACATCGGGTATTGATATACAATGAGCACAGTGAGAGTAAAAATAGTACAACGTCCATCTGCGGTGAACAGGGAGCCAAATCTGGGAACGATGGATACGCGTGGCTCAACTATCGTCTGCGTCTTCCGTAGTGTAGATAAAAACCGATGGGTCGATCGGTCGTAATGAATGGCCGTAGGACTGCGCTGCCCCACTGAGCAAGCTCGTTCTTACATAATTAAATGTGTTCGCGAAAAGACAACACACAGTGATCGGTGCATATCGATGCGGGTAAAAACAGGATTCACATTATATATGTATATATGCTCACACATGACTCGTCCAGTTCTCGATACACGTTGCCTACATACGTACATATACATACATAATATATATACATATATGCATCGAGAACTGGACGAGTCGCGATCGCCCGTGTGAGTGCGGCGTATGTTTCCACATATTTCTGAGCACGAACAAAATTTTACCATTTCGTCCCAATGGCGTTACTCGTCATTCATTCGTAACAATTATATGACCGACAGTTCTGCACAATATACATATATCCACGCCAACTTCTGGACCAAGTTTAGAAGGAAAGAACGAATAAGAGGGGAATATCTACCTGTAGATAGGTGTATGGTTGTCTGTCGTTGCCTGTGACCGAGCACGCGAAACTGCGGTAGTTCCACCTCGTTCGAGATGCCGACCGACTGTAGGCCGGAGTTCCATTTGTACCGAATATCGCGCATTGTGTATCCAACTGCCGGGAGAACAAGAACACAAATATCTTCGCTCTAACATACAATAATTAGACACTGAGGTAGTGTTCGGTTTGGGACGGAAGGTAGGGTTCCTCGGGGGAGCACAGTAATTAGAAGCAAAGTTATCGCGCGAGCAACCTAAAGCGGTTCCCGTTGTTGCATCACGATCCAATTCTGTCGCATAAATTTCTCTTCGCGCGGAATCGATTTAGGATGCCCTCCGTGCCGCTATAATATCATAAACGTCATCGAGATAGGCATTGTAGCTTTAACTAACACGCTCGTTCCGAAGTCTCGAAGGAATACTCTCCAATTTTTCCGTAATATCATAGTGAAAAAAAGAAGGAGAATTCTAAGCGTTTTCTCATATTCGTAACGAGATTTTAATTTCTGGTATGAGCAGAGACAATTTCTTGTATAAATTTCGGCTTTCGAGAGAGTTGTTTTTTTTTCATTCATATGAACGGTAACGTTGTAATTTGTATATTCGTAATGTAATAATGCCTTCTGAAGCGTCTATGACGTTCTCGAAACCGAGTTTGCGATTGTTACGTGCAAGGCCACGCGGAGATTGCTGGCGATTAATGATATTCTTCTTTGCGCCGCGGAAATACAGATGCTCTGCGAGACAAACGCGGGGCTAGGATAAGCGCCGACTTGGCGGCGCGTCCGCCTATTGTTCGTTCCTACCAGGGAATATCCCGCGATCGGATTTTGACGGTTATCGATCATAATTCGCGCCTATTTATTCTCTCTAGTGCCTCCGCGCGGCCTCCAGCGCGTACATACCGCATCGAGAAACATTCCTCCGTAACTGAATCTTAGGTGATTACGATCGTTACACCACATTCCAGGCACCAAAGTGGCATTCCGTCGCGGTGGCGGCTACATTGCGCGAGCATCGGCCAAACATGGATTAAGCGGTAAGCCTCCGGATATGCCAGATTAATTGCTTTTGTTTTTGGAATCCGAGTTTGAATGCCGTCGCGTTTTATCATGTACTGCGCCGCGATTCCGCGCGGCGGGCGCAGCTGCATGCGGCGTCGCGCAAAATCGCGATTTCGATAATGACGTTACGATTCGCAACAGGCGTGTTCGACACTAGCGGCCCGGGGCCCCGGGAACCTCGGGTTTTGTCCGTCGCGGTCAACGTAAAAAAAAAATTTACACTTGTCGCGTTAATGAGGGAACACTAATGCGCCGACGTTTACACTATATCTCGGATATTGTATACTTTGTCTTTTTCATCTTCCGATTGCATTTCTTATTGCGAGCGCTCATTATACTTGCAAACGCAAGATAAAGATAAATTGTGAATGAGAAAATCGCGTTCGCGAGCGAAAACGGCGACGTCTAAAAAAAAAATAACGGCAAAACACATAAAAGATTTGCTCGAAGATTTGCAAAAATATTACGCGCGCCCGTTCGTTTTATTCCTGGCCCGATGGTCGTCGCATAGTTAAGTGCAGCGCAGATAAAAATTGATACTTTTATAAAGTTTCATAAAGAGGTCCTGGACTAGGGGCAACATTAAGCGTCACGAGGGGTAAAAAGGTCGGAGGGGAACGGCGGGAGATGGGGGCGGGTCGTGGCTGTTGAATACTGCAGAGGGGAGGATTGCGGCAACATTAGCAAAATACCGAGGACCATGGTAGTGGCAGCAAGTTTAGGTTTAAGACGAAAAGTGGAGTGTATATAAGTTAGATATGGAGAAGCAGAGGGGGGGGGGGAAATAGTTTTGTGCTCGGCATGCTACAGTGACACACACAGGCTCGGGGGAGGATTAGATAGATTTACATATATGTGCTACATGCTTTACGCCGCGCATTTCGCCTGCTGTGCTGCATGCTCCATGCTACATGCTCCATTCTGCGTGTTCCGTGTTTTGCGAGAAACGCGAATTTCCATACCGGCTTTACGGTCTCCTACCGTTAAAATTCAAACATTATCGTTGAACAGTATTATATCGAGGCCTTCTCGATCCGGGATCCAGTTAGTCCGGCTTGTTCGGTGTGTGTGTGTGTATGTGTGTGTGTGTGTATGTACAACGAGAAGGAAATGCGTTCTTGCGGTGGTTCTTTTTACGTTTACGTTAATGTAATAATCTAGAGCGTGGATTCTCGAAAAGTGCGATTTATCTGTCAAGCAATCACCGATGCAAGATTTAAGAACTTTCGAATGTTATTCTCGGAAGTTAAGTCTTTCCAAAAGCCTCTGGAGAGACAACTGAAACATCGTCTTCGTGGTGGGATAGGAAGTAGACAAGTAGCTCGCGCACGGACTGTACATCTTCAAATATAGCACTTACTTATTTCTTTTATCCTGCTCTGGGGTAGACCAAAATTAAATAACCATGCCGACACATGCTGTTGCCGAGCTATACATTAGATATCTATCTACTATACGTACAAAAGTTGCTCGAGTAGGATCGAGGGGGTGGGGACGGTATACCGGAGCAAGTCGCAGATCAAAGTCAGGTCGCAAGCAAATTCATAGGCATACCCGATAACGTGACCACGGCGTGGTACGCCATGGGTAATGTTGCAGTCTTTTCTTTCTTACATGCGCTGGGCTAGATGCACAATGCGTTTTAATTCGGTCGGACCATTGTCGACACGTCGTTTCTGGATTTAGCCTCCTGCGGGGCTGGCCGTCGTCGGCCCTTACTGCGTCCCCGGACACGAGGCTCAGTGCTATATGTCGGAGGCCCTTCAGGTTCGGGGGGGAGGGGGAGGAGGGTTGGTTGGTGATAGTTAAGTGATGGCGGTGGTAGTCAGTGGTAGTGGCGAGTGGCAAAGTAGTGGCAGTGTTTGAACGGCGCACTTTCGTCGCGTTTTTGATCTCGATTTACGGCGACTGCGCGCCGAGAGCTCTCGTTTATTGTATATTTACAATCGTGCGTGTGCTTCGGTGGTATATTCTAGTTCAGCGTGATCTCTCTCCCTGAACGTAGGTCCTTTACGCAGGAAATCGCCGCCGATCTCGTAAGAGACGGAACAGATCCCGTTCTCTGTATGTATTTGCCGCGTACGCGGATCACATACGTTCATCCGACATTTCCGTTGTCGAGCTGTAAAAAAAAGGTTCTCGTTCGCGCGGTTTATCGAGTGCGGGGGGGTTTTTTTCCCTTTTTTTTACGGTTGTCATTATCGCATGCGCGTACGTGATCCGCGAGACGGTTTTCGTTTGGCGGCGACAGAGTGTAGAAAGAGGATACTCGGTGATTATCTTTTTGTTAGATTATTTGTACTCATTTGTCGAATGACCTTCGAGAAATCACGCGTTCAGCTAAGACCGACGTGACGACTCACGGTCAGCGGTAACTTGGTAAAGTGGAGACCCTTCGGAGGATGCTCATAAATACGTTTGCATACGGTCTTTGCGTAGGATGTGACAAAAGCGTGTCCTGTAAACGTATTGGTAGTTGGATTTGTTGCGTATCGCTTCTTTTTATAGTTGAAGCTACCTCACGAGAAATGCAGAATTGGAATCGTCGCTTTTCGACGTGGTAGTCGCAGTCGTTTCGTGTCGACGAGCACTGGTTATGCGATCTGCTATGATCTGAGATTACTACAAATTGCACGTCCGCTCTCTCATCCTTTATTATTATACCCGCGCGATTGTGTGCCCCGGGAAATGCGAAACGTGAGAATGTGATAACGCGAAAGTAATTTTATTTCGTTCATATATTGAAAGACCGCTTGAGAAAATGACAATTGCAAAAATACTCGTGAACTACCCTTGTTCAACATCGTGGAAATACAAAATCGATACGGCGGGAGGTAATAATATCTCGTTTAATGGCTAAGTTAAGAGCGAAACGATGTTCGTGACCCGACACTTTTCTATCTGAAACTAATCAAGAAACTCTCCAGAGTTCTACAAATTTGGCGCCTCCCTGCCTTCTCTTTTTATAGATCGCATCAGCCGCGGTACGTTTTAGGCAGAATTCACGCGCAGAAACGTCCATCAAATCGAATCTACGATTATAAATAGAAACCGAGAGTTTGGGTCAATCACAAAGCGGAATCATGTGAGAACTGCGACCGTAATATTATTAGCTTACATCTCCCGGCAGTTTCTGACCGACGAATATGCTAAAATTAGCGGATACGCGAGCGTGTGTGCGAAATGTCTTTAAAGGCCTCCTCAGAAAGTAATGTTAAATTAAATTATCAATCTAACCCCTCGCGGAATATAGCGGTATTTATCTTTCTAATGGTCGAGTTTATTGGCATTGGTTAACTTCAACCGTGGCTTAGTTGTCTGTTTACTTGTTCGCGGAACTTGAATTAGAAAACGACAAAGATTCAGCCGAACTGAAATAAAAGTTCATGGAAGCCTGTAAATCTTTCGAGTCATCTCGAAAGTTTAGCGATTTGCGCGGGCATTCTCCGGTAATTCGTGATAGGGATGTATCGCGACAACTTATAACGATCGCAATAACTCGTATTCGAGCAGTCCGACCAATTAAGGACGAAAGGGCGCCCGCGAAAGTCCGAGCTTTCTACTCGACGAAACTAATCGACCAACTTGGCCGGCTCCCTGCGGTATCTCGTATGCCGGACTTCCGGTGACCCTTCGACCCTATTCCACGACCGACTGAGTTTTAATATAGATCTTTTAGCGGGGGCGAGCTGAAGTCAAACTTTTTCCATCATCCTGAATAAATCGGCGGGTTTGAACGTTTCTGTACGTCTGTGTGTGTGTGTGTGGTGCCTGGAAACGACCGAAGACGTTCTAAATGAGAAGCACGCGCAATTATTTACTTTACGTTAACCACGACATTCTCGAAATGTTATTCTTACAAATCTTGCATTCGCACCGCCGCGAATACATCACGCACATAATTGTTTCTACATGTAATCGCTCATTCACAATTCTGATTATTCATGATGTAATCTTCGTTATAATGCCGATTTGAACCTAACCGTATCGCGTGTTGACTTATTCAGGCAATTTGCGCGGTACATGTGCTGTCGTGTGCACGAATTATTAATGCCAATACCAATAAACAACGATAATTATTTCGCGTATGAATAAATGGCGGCGGAGCCATTTCTACAGGGGCGCTCGAAATTCTCTTTCGCTTTCGCGCACTTTTGCGCATTAAACACACCGTGCAATTTGCAGCAGTGCCCAACCAAACACGGGGAGCTCGTGACAGCGAAACGTTAGCGCTATCACGCGCACGCACGTCACGTACATACACACGCGCGCACGCACACACGCTCACTCGCACTCACATTTACGCACGCGTGACGTGATAATCTTCTCGCAATGTGCCTTTGCGCACTGGGACGTTCTCACGGCGCGTCATAGCTCCTGGTCAACCTACGATTTCTATGCTTATAGTCTAACGGAGCGACTCGATTAATCGAGACGTGTCTCGTCGACGACTCAGTTGCGTATACAGTGCGCGCATCGATACAGAGGCCGTTGTTACGGCGCATCGAAGCTCCTTCTTAAGGTGCTTACTGACCGCACACTGTGCTCAGTAGCAGAATCGGGCTTTTATCGTTGAATCACAACCGCGTGGAAAATGAGATTACGTACTCTCCGGTTCCTTTTTGCGGCTACATTATTAATCGCAGAGAGAATCATCCTCTCTCTCTCCCCCTTTTTTTTTCTTTCATAAAGTTTGCAGCGAAGGGAAGAACTTGCCTTTGGATTCGACGCTTAAAATACCGTATGTTCACGTTTCTTCTTTTATTCTTTTTTTTCGTTTATCGACTTTCGCGCGCGCTTCGCAAAAGAGGAAAGTGAAAAGGAAGAGGAGGCTGCAATAAATGCCCGACTCTGCAAGTCCACGTTGTTACATACGGACAATCACTGTGTATGGAATAAAAAAAAAAGAAACCCAACCAGTGTGTGTGAGCGAGAGCGGGTGAGTGAGCGAGTGAGTGAACGAGGTGAATGGGAGTGATTCTCACTTGTGTGGCTGACTGATCGTGTGAGTGAGCGTGTGAAGTGGCGAGTGACGGACAGACAGACAGACAGATAGACAGATAGAGAGGGAAAGATAGAAAAGAAAGAAGGAAGTGAAATCTGATGTCGGGAAAAAGGCGAGAGGGGAGACCGAGACCGTTGGTAGTTGAGGGAGGAAGAAGAGAGGAGGGAAAAATGGAGAGTGACGGGTTATGGAAGTTGACAGTATTCTCTGTGTGAGCGTGTAATAAAAGGGGTGGGGGGGAGGGACACGAAGTTTTCTCTCTGTTTTTTTTTTTAAATGCTCGACGCAAATATACACAGTAGAAGCGTCTTTCTATGTCATTATCTGAAAAAAAAGAGGGTTCAAAGCGATGTACAATTGAATCGCATTGAATCAGCAACAATCGGCTATCGATAAGGACACTTTCTGCGTATCGCTTTCGGCGTTATTCTCGAGTTACATGCACGAATTCACATGCTGGAATTGATCGTTCGCGGTTTACAATATGCTGCAGCGAGGACTGGCGATAGGTACCGTCAATCGGGTATACGGCTAATCGTGACGCTAGAGTGTAAACGTGACCACTGCAGACTTTTTCAGGGATACAATTGCCGGCTGTTTCTCCAAAATTTCAATTTTATTCCCGTCAAATGGCGTCGCCGCGCGTAACGGTTTTACGAGATAACAGCAAGTGCATCATCGAGAGAAGCGCCCCGATTTAACGTTCTCTGTATCGCGGTACAATTACGTTGATTGACTCTGCAACAACGATTTTTCTCTTTGAAAATTACACGCGCACGTGCTCGACGATCGACGTCGAAAGGATACGGTGAGTCGATTGTCATTCTGAGAAGTAATATGCAATTGTTGAAGTGCAGGGAAAGTCTCTCCGACTTTCGTTATAAATATGCGCAAGAAAGTATGTGTAAATATGTCGAGTAGAACTAGGCGAGGATGTCGAATTCCGTGAAATTGTATTTCGTTCGTTCGTATGCACCTATATATAATATGTATAAGTAGACGTATGTATGTGCATACACGCGTGTTGCGTACTTACAGCTCTCGATCTCGATATGGCACAGTTGCCGGTCCATCGGGAAATACTGCAAGTTCATGGGACATGACGCTGTAATCGTTAAGCTGAAACACATTCAATGAAGTCCGTTTAGCAGTGCGCTTCTCGACAAAGTGTTTTATGATATACGAATGCAGGGATTCGCAGCCAATCCATTTGCACTCGGGTAACGTTGAATCAATGTGCGGGAATTAATTCGTAGTCGACCTCATTACGCCCGAGTCACGTCAGGATTAACGTGTAAGAACCAATCCGTATCGACTCGACGTACCGTTAATACGTGTCTATTCTCGTCTTCGACGAGACGTATTATACGAAGGGATGCGGGCGTACGTATTCGCATGATTCGTGCATGCGGACAGTGATCGATGACTTACGCTGAAGCGGAGAAGAATTATTCACGCAAATGAGCGCGCGCACGCTGCTTCATCGATATTCTTCTTTCGTTCCCCGACAGCGAGCGGCTCGATTCGGCACTTCCGATCCGGAAGTCGGGGATGTAATATAATGGAACGATATTGCGCGAGGGAGTGCAAGTTAGGTATGCATGGATCGTCTGAATATAGCCGGCGCGTTAATATCGGAGCACCCCTCCCGCTCGAGAGGGGGGGGACAGACACGAGCTGTGCAAGAAGGAGCGGAGGCCGCTACGGGGAACAAATTTGTCGTGCCGGATACAATTGGTCCCAGAAGTGCCACGAGTGTTCCACGGTGATGGAGGACAATGAGCTCGCGGTGGAGAGCACCGTGAACGTTTTCTCTCGGACGGGCGAAAGTAACCGTTCGGGATTAAATCTACTTAACTGGGCTCAAAGAAAGGAAGACCTTTTAACCTTTATCTACTGCTCGCCCGACGTGGCATATTATATACTTTCTTTCTTTTCAATTACCATCTAAATTAAGCCTCGTTGTTACGATAGAAAAAAGAAAAAGGTATTCGCTCAGATGACTTGCAAACTTGGATTCACTATGAAAAAAATCTGACGCTTGAAAAATATTACCGTGTAAATCGGATATACAGGTATCCCGCGTATATATATATATTTCATGGTTTTATACGTATGTAAGAAGCTACGGGTTGGGAGCTATAAATGTTTTACTCACCGTATGCTACGCGTGATGCTTCCCGAATGGTGAATGCGAATGAACTCGTTGCTGGTGGTAGCGATGTGAAAGTACGACTGCTTCTCGTTGACGAAGAAGGTGTCGGGTACCCAAATGTTCTTGATGAATTCCGAACCGACGCTGAGCGTCTCGACGCCCGTTCGCGGCTTGAACGCGAGTCGTGGATCCGTCCAGAATTGTCGGAAGTAAAAATCCAACGTGAAGTCCTGGTACGACACAGGTGACTTATTAGATTGGTAGTCGTTTGTGTTCACCGTTCATATTAGAAAGACACGAGGATTCACGTAAGCCTTTCCGCATTTGTTTCACGCGTTGTGTTTTTTTTTCTCGTTGCTCCGAAAGCCGATATAAAAAAGGTGATTTATTCAGTTGTCTTTGTTATCACTAACTGTATCTTTTAATAAACGAAGCGTTATGCGGTACGCATTGTTTTAAAAGTATAAGCAAATAGACGTGAAGATAAATTAAAAATTGGATAACAATAGATGGAAAAATTTAACAGTTCAATGAAACAGAAATAACAATATACACAAGGATATGAAACTTTAGTTAAGACGGGCATTATTAGAGAATATAGAAATAAAAGTTTCCTTGTTAGGCAAATTTAAACAAGTGTGCTCGTGATGAATTGATTGTTGAAGACAATGAAGAACGTTCTCGACGTCTGCGAATCTTTTGAATCAGAGCAAACGAAAGCCAATTCGAAATGCTACGTTAGTCCTCGTTCTTCTCATGAGTCTGAGCGCAAAAAGTCTGAAGAGATTGAAAAGGCGTATGCGTTCCTGCGCGAGGGAACGCAAGATTGTGCGAGATAAGTTAACGATCGTAGTATAATTCGGCCGGCCGCGTTTACGGCGCGGACGTAACGTGTCGATCGGAAGAGATATTCGTGCGGGGAGAGTTAACGGGAGAGGAAACGCGTTCGGGATCGCGTACGTCGACAGGCACCTTCGAAGGCTTATCGTGGCGGCTCGTCGCGGTTATCGTAATACGTAGAACCGGCCACTTAACGCTTACGTGACCCTCTATAATCCAGACCTCCTCCGGTTTTCTACTTGGCCCCACGCTGTGAAACGAGGCGAGGCTAATTCGGCGCGGCGCGGCTATAAAGTTGCGACGGCAACTTCGAGAGCTTTGTAGAGCGCTCCATCATTGTGCCTCGCACTCGCGTTTATCCTGGCTTGAGCGACGTGCGAGAGCAACTCGGACTTAAGTGATTTCGGGCAAACGTGATTGACGATCGCGCGATCCCATCGCTGAATCCTCATGGCGTTGTATCAAATACAAAAGTCTGAAGAATATTTGTCTATTCGTTAAATTTAATTTTGTTATATTGTGCTATAAGAGAATTTGGTTTAAACGGATAAAATTCTCGCGTACGAGTTAAATAAAGCGAAGTCCAAAATTTCATTATCACTTTATAATAACTGGCGTTAGTTCGCGATGATTCGCAAAGAACTTGAGGGGCAAACTTTAAACTTCAAGCTTTGTACCTTGAAATTTCTTTCATATGGAGTTGAAGGCAATAATAACACAGTTATCATGTAAATAATACGTTTCTACGCCGGTGTAAACTCGTCGGCAATGTCACGAGCTTTCTAAATTACTTCACTGTCGATTTTCCTGAAACGTTTATTCGTATGGCTGAGGAAGTTTAAGCACTAAACTGAGAAGAGAGAGAGAGAGAGAGAGAGAGAGAGAGTTGAGCGCATTCAACTGAAATAGATGAGCAGATTTATTACCCAAAGTGGAAGTTTCTTAATCGGCTCGTTATTATAGCGAGAAATCCTGCAGGGAATATGTTTAAAACTTGCTTGATGTTTTGACGAAGTTTCGTCTTGCTATATTATCGAATTGAACTGTACTAATATTTAATAATCATTAAATTACACTCCATTGAAGACTACAAGCAAACTTGTTTTAAACGTAAAGAATATTTAGGAAAATGATTTATCGCGTTATTGTTGAATAATACGAATCCAAATATAAATTGCCGACTATAAACGGACTTGTTTCGAACGTAGAGAATATTTAGGAAAATGACAAGATTTATCACGTTACTGTCGAACGATATGAATCCAAACATAAATGCAGTACTTTACTAGATGTTTTCGAATAATTAAAATTTATCGTTGCTATTTTTTAATTGGCTCGCGATATCTACCGCGCTGATCGTTACGTTGTAATGATTTCTCGATAACGCACATGCTATATTACTTGATTTATTACTGTAATATCATATTTGTTCCGTTATCACACAATGTTCCTAATTAGTCTTGTATTGCAGGGTCACGTTAAGAATCTAGATACCGAGCCGCGCCGTTAATAGCGCACAGTTACGACGGTGGGTTAATAGTTTATAATTACGATGCCAAGGCGCGATTATAACTCGTAATCTTACGCGGGAACGTACGCGTGACCCGCACGCCTCGTGAGCATCGAGATTCCTGCCGACGTGGGGGTCGATCACAGGACAGGAGTTTCGCGACGCGAGTATAATTCGTGTGTACACGCGAACGAGATAAGGTGTGGAGACCGTGTATGTATAGTGACTACGTATATATATATACACACATATATGTATATATATATACATATAAAACAGGTATTTTACGACGAAATCACTACGTACAGACATGCCACGAAACTGCCATAAAATTCATGCACCGCGCGCTGTACAAGGACAGTGTATGGTGGATATACAGCATCTTTGAAATTTTTCATGATCATCTTCGCGCATCGCTTTTATCGCCGACAGCGCAAATAGTAATTGAATACGTACACGGGTGTCTTTCGTTGTCGGTGAATACGAAGCATGACGTATTTGAGAACGATAATAATAGCAGAGTGCAGAAATTACCCAACCATCTCCGAAACGAATTCTTCGAATTTTACGATTTATAATTAAAAATTGAACGTCACGTGTGAAAGTTGTGATATTAAATTCAACTTTTTTTTTTAATACTCAACGAGGGTCGTAATCAAATTTCTTTCTTTTTGCTCTTACTCCGTCCGCTCACCTTTTTCCGCTAGATTATACAGTCAGTAACGATGCCGGCGGCCATAAATTTTACGATAATTATCGGCGAAGTTTTTACAACTATCGGCGGACGTAAAATTGCAAAAAAAATTTAGAGAACTTCGGGAATAAAGTTCGGAATTTTACAACTCCAATAAGATGTCACGGCTCCATGACAAGGAGGAGAGTTCGACCCGGAGCGACGCTTGTCATCCCCTTCGACGACGTGTGCGCGCATACGCGAAGACTTTTCCTGCCATTCGCGTCTTTATGAAGAATTCAATGCGCGTGGCACATTGCCCGGCCCGTTCCGTCGCACATTTTTCGATTTGCTTTAGCGTCGATTACACTTGGCGATTAATTAAAGTCGCGAGTAAAGAATCAAGCGTCCACGATTTCGTTGTGCAGACAGACATGAAGGATAAGTGATTCATATACCGATTTAATCTGTACCGTATTGTTAATAACACGATTCAAAAGGTGCTGCACGAATGTATAGCAATTAATCTCGCGTTTTAAACGCGCGCAAATGCCTCGGCGAACATGAAAGACCTTGAAATATCCCGTGGAGATGCCGTATGGAACGGAAGTTGTCATCGTTTCCGTTCCTGGCAGCTCTTCAGGCGCACTGCGGTTACGTCGTGACGCGTAATTGCCGCGCTAACAAATCTTCGGGTATGATTAACTGATCAACAACTCCCACGCGAACACATTTACGAGAATTCATCCTCAAATTTTGATTCTTTTTGCTTATTATAGTTTCCAGTTTTCCGTTCTTTGTACGTATAATTTTCAATTTGTAACTATGACGGTGCGCTCAGACATTTGTCTCTTGTTGAAAATGATTAAGGAACTGGGTCATTGTGTCAACTGCGAAGTATTTATTTCTCCCTCTTTTCGAGGAAGTTATGCGGAAGGTGATTGCTATTAACATCTGGAGTGGCAAAACGTCTTCTATTTATCAACGATGCGATCGTGCAATTAATTGGGTCCCCGTAAAATACCGAAGCGTTTAGGTGTGAACCTCGGTGTAAAACTGTAGCGTCGGTCCGTTGCTTAACTGTACGTGAAAGTATTTCTCACGCTTATCTCGACGGCACGCAAATCTTGCACGGTGTATTCGGGCGTGAATCGAGCAATTCGAGCGGGTACGCGCGTCTCGTTGCCGATGAAACATTTCCGGGAGGAATGCGAGCAGGTGTGCGCAAGCATCTCTATCACACGCAAATCGTAGCGTAAAAAAAAACAAAGAACAAGAGGAAAGCTTTGTGGAAGCGTTCAGGCAAAAGCTCGCAGGCCAATCGATCTAAGAGAGAGAGAGAGCGAGAGACAGCGAGAGAGAGAGAGAGCGAGAGAGAGAGAGAGAGAGAGAGAGAGAGAGAGAGAGAGAGAGAGAGAGAGAGAGAGAGAGAGAGAGAGAGAGAGAGAGAAGAAAAATAGGGGAAAAAACGGTACAGTAGTGTTGTACGACAAGTGATGGAAGCGAGAGGGGCTCGTACGAGGAGGAACGCTCCATTTCGGAGTCCATCGTGCCTCGACGAGCGCGAATTACCGCGATGTGTACGCGCGAGCACATAGACCCGCGGCTCACGTGCTGCGCGCACACATACGCACACCGAGAGGTACACACAGTACAATAAACGCAGGCTTTTCGCGCGCCGAAACGCGCGTGTGCACGTACAGACACACACACGCACACATACGCACATATACCGCGTGCGCGTGCACGTAACACGCGCTCGCGCGCTCGTAGAAATCGTATATATATACAATATATAGCGTGACGTGATTCATAGCAACCAGAAGCGCACTGCACACACTGACAATGACACAGCTCATATAGGTGTCATAGTATATTTACGATATAATAGCATAAATATATACGAGATATATATGCAAATATAATAATATATATCGGTATAGTCTCGATGTAGTCGCAACGTCGCACGAGCTATACTCTTCATTTGGTATGCAATCATCGGCTGGCCGAGGGCGGAGAGGAGGTTACAGGGCGAAAGGGAATATCTCGTTCTTCGAGGGCCCGCGGGGTATCTTCTAACGATACTTTTTCTCCTCATCCTCCCTTGCTCTTTCCACCCCCGCTTTATCCTCCTTTTCTTGGTCCCGTCCGGCCGAGAGGACTACAATCAACGAGCGCATAAAGGCGCTTTCACCGTATTATTCTCTCCGCCTGTGCTCGTCGATTTTTTCGAAGGCGCACGATGAAAGGGAAGATAAATTGGTAGGAAAATCGTCTCGTTGTTCGCGGATACATCGGCCGGAGAGTCCGAAGAGTGGCCCTCGAGGGATGGACACTGGAAGTCGCTTCGCGACGAGGGACAGATAGGGAGACGAGACAAAAGACGCGGGTGGGGAGGAGGATAACGTAGAATGGAAACTCGCCAGCGGGTGTAAAAACTCGCGCGTCACGTCCCAGGTGACAGTGTCGACTTGATTTGGTTTCCGCACAGGGCTCAACACCTGGGGTCCAGCCTCGTACATTCAGCTCCAAACTCGCACTCTGGACCTCGTGGGCGAACGAAAATCGAAACGTGCCGGTTCCCCTCGCGCGATTATGCGTCAAATATGCAGGAGAGACGGAGTGATAGAGACAGAGAGAGAGAGAGAAAGAGTGAGACTCGACCGTAAGCTCAACGCGATAGCGTTCGGTGCTTCGGGCTGCGGTAAGTCAACGTTACTGCCGCCCTGGAATTCATCACGAGCCGAGGGTCCTTTGAAAATTTTACCGTAACCGGGGCTCGCGGCATTGACGAACCGCGTGTTATTTTCGATTCTTCTCGGGCGATCAACCGATACGACTGGTCACGTCGCGATACCCGAAGAGTCTCCCGTCGGCGATTTCATTTCTGGCATTAATTGTTACCGGAGAAACGGGCTCGTACAGGTCCGCGATCCGACGCGCATACTTCGGGACGCGCCCGATAGAGAATGGATCCAGTCTTGTGCTAGTTTGAAACTGATTGCCGACACCGGAACGAAATACCTTCGATTACTACAGGATTATGCGTAATACACAATACGTTGTACGGTGCCGCTATATACCTTAAATATATTGAGAAACAAATACCAATATAGATATATACGTGTACCAATGACGCAGAGTACGCGTACGTACACTTTTATGTGCTTCTTATGTACAGACGTGGGCGCATAAGAGTGTACGGTCACGCGTACGTGAACGTGTCTCAACGTATGTGCGGCCTACGGTGCTCGAACCGAAACCCACGGTGTACCACCACGCCGATTGATCGCATCAAGACGTCGCGTGTCGCGTTGGCCGTTTCGTGTATTTTAAGTAGTCGCTAGTTTCAACGACTCTCAATAATATGCATGCCCCGTTGTGTTTCAGAGAGAAGCCCGATGGGTTTTCCGCCTCCTGGATTTTCCGCCTCCTGGATTTTCCGGTAAGTCGAGCTCGGATATTTTTGACTTATCTGCGATTTCCCTCGAACGGGAAAACGGAGCGACGCGATATCGCGAGGGGGATTTAACGTTCCCCCGCGGGATTAAAAGGTCTAACGCGCTCGCCGTTCCCGTCCCCGACGACGGCGTCCGTCGGGGACTCCCCCTGGACGAATTTCTCCCACTTGGGTCTCCTCGCGCGCGTACGGAGAACGGAAAACCAGCCGGTCCTTCGTCGGCTCGAGCACCGCGGGTTGGGCCATGCAACAAGAACATCGCAAATCGAATCAAACGACTCAACCATAAACCATAAACGAAGTGGACAAGAATATATCTTGCGAAGACTGTGGAACGTAGCAAGGTTCCCTTGTAACAGTTCAGCCAACCAAACAGCTGTGACGAGCTATAAAAACGTAGGTTAGTAGGCCATCCGTGTGTATACTATTGTCGCTTTTCTCTGTGTGTGTGTGTGTAAGTGTGAATGTGTACACCGGTATGTATCTCCACGTGTACGAACGTACATGTGACCGTGTGTACGTGTATAGCTTATACAGTGTGGCTGTGTGTCGATACGCCCCTTGCTGCCGACATAAACATCGCTATGCGCGTCGCACGTATTTCCCCCGGTGCACTTTCCCGCGACCAGATATCGAGAACGACTCGAGATTTAAGCAGATGTGAATATATACGCGCGCGCGGAGATATCGCCCTGGTTTACGTCTACTCGCTACTTTCTGCGCGACTTCGACGCGTGCGAATCAATATCCACGTGTTAAAAAAAAAAGAGAGAGAGAGAGAAAAAAAGGCAGCAAGTTAATCGCGCGTACGTTTGCACGTCACCACGAACGGGCGATATTTTTTATTATCGTCGAATCGCATTCGCGCTTCTCCGCGGCAACGGGGTTTCGTATTTTTGCGCGAACATCCATCGTGCCGTCGTAACGGCGGTAACAAATAAACAAGCCGGAACAGATGATACTGCGGACGCAATCGGAAGCAAGTGGCGCGACTGGTAAAGCTGATTCGATCAATGATGGTGGTGGCGTCAGTTTCACGATAGGTACGCTCGACGTATGATGATCGGTCCAATTAAACGCGTGGGTTAAAAAAACCCCCCTTTAAAGCAATATCGACAGAATTTTGGCATTACGATCGATCGTGCCATCGCATGGTGAAACGGCTGTGTCGGGCGGAAATGGACGTTCCCGTTGTCGCTTTTTGACACGACGGACACGTGGGAGGCGGACGGGTATTTGGGGAGGGGGGGGGGGGTTGGGGGTGGTGAGCGGGTGGGAGGGGACGAGCGTGGTTGTTTCGCGAGGGCTGGGTGAAATAAATGAACGGGCAATTGTCGATGTCGAGTTTGTATGAGTTTGAATGCAAACTGTACCATCAACACCTCGGACACGGAGCTGATGCTGAGGACATACATGGTGACGCCGACCTCCACGGGCGGACCTGCAATCAACAAAACCATCCGGCCTTGGTCGCTGTGATTACCCGCCAATCTCTAATCAACCGTGTACGACCTAATCGTGTACGAGGTAGACATCTAGAGATAACAGTAATACAATAACAGTGGTAAAGACGAGAATGCGTGCCTTTACCTCTGACTCACGTCGCGCGTCGAAATTTAGGCGGCTTTAGCGAGTGCCTTCGAAACGGACGCCGCATGCATTGCGTGCCGGCGTCTCGCGTGTCTCGCGCGTCGACGTCCATCGGAGGAATTTAAATCCCGCGTCCCGATTGCGCTCCGATACGAATCCGCGCCGCGATTCGCTGCTCGACACGCGCGGACAATTCGCGTTCGGCATTTTTTCCCCTCCCCTCCCCTCCCCCCTTCTTTGTGTCTTTTGGACAAACCGGGCCGTTCGCTTTTGTCCCGTGTGAGCCAGAGGCAAGGCGTGAACGGACAAGTCGAGGAGAGCTCGCACCCTGCACGGAACCAAATCAACAGGACTCGTCGTCGGCCACGTTGCCTTCCAAAGCTAGAAGAATCATCCATACTTGTCTCGTTACATTAGGCATTGTATTATAATGCTCTTACGTATTATGTTACATACACATCACAGCCACGTGTACGCGGTACGACATTACCTTACTACTACTTTTTTTTTTCATTTCGTACCGCGTCGTCTTACAGTGGTTTTGCTTTGTTCTCCGTTCTCTCACCCTCTCGCTTTTTCCTTCGCTCTTTTGCATCGTGGTTTTTTTTTGCCGATCACTCGTCGTATTCCAATTAGACTCGTGTGGCTACACGAGTACGTATCCCGGGGAGATACGGCTCGTTTTATCGTAATGTCGTTTTTTTTTTCGCCCTATATTAGACGCCCCTCCGTGATCGAGAGCGGCGCGCCGTCTTGTCGAAACACTCGTCGAACGACATCGTTACTTTACACTGAATTGCTGTCATTGTCATTGCGGTCGTCGATTCCGGGCGAAATCCATTTTTTTTTAGCTTCTAGGGGGATGTGAGGGGGATGCCTTGAATACCGAAAGAGTTGCTGGAAGGAATTCGGGCGGATAGCGATCGAGACCAATCGGTCGCGGATTGTTCTCTCTCGCGTGTTCGTAGACGAACGCGTGATACGTGCGGTGTTTCGACAGAGAGAGAGAGAGATGACGGAAGTGTCGGGCAAAAGGGGGATTTCTCTCGGGTGGCGGGACATAGAGTAATAATAATTATAAGTGGTTGGCAGGCGGCAGCCCATCTCAGCAACCGCGGCATAGCAGCTAGAGCGTCTAAGAACGGTCTAACGGGACGGTCGTGCGTGTTTAATATAATTGAACAAAATACTATTTTCCCTGAGAGCAGAAAGCAATAAAAAGACGCTCCTCATTCACGTTCTCTCTAACACTACGTGACGTTCGGGGCAGCCCAGGCTCAAAGTCAGGCAGGAAATCAGTGAACTAACTTTTCCACGCCCGCAGAAAACGAAAGCGCAGTTCGGAGCAACTGAAAAAATTCGTCCCGACGCTCGATCCAGCGATTTCGTAAGATCCCTTTGCCGGGCGGTCGAAAATTTTAATGGCCATTTCGCGTTCCGATATAGCTCGCGCGCGCGCGCATGAATCACATCAAACGTCTGGTTAAGAGATTATTTTCGAAATAAATCCAGTTCCCGCGCATTAAACGGAAACTACCTCGCAATAATTTAGAACGAGTCCGGCTGTTTGTTTTTTCTTTCTCGAGATTTAGCTCGATTCGCGACCGCATCCACGCGGTCTCGCTGCTTCCAGTTGCCCCGAAACTACAGCCCCGTTTCCCGAGCGAGGAACGAGGACAGCCACTATATATTATCTGAAATATGAAATAGTACTTTGTCCATTTTTTTTAAGTATATATTTCTGTTTCTCTCTGTTGCTCGCTACTAAGGTGTGTACGTGTAGGTTTTATGTGTGTGTACGGGAGAATGCGTGTATAAAGTCATACACGCGCACACTCATTCCTCGCGTCGGTGTAAACCGGCACCGCGATAAGCGGACGGGCCACATGGCACTACAATATATCAAATGAGTTAGGGGACTCGGCGCTTGGTTAGCTTCATTTCGGTAGTTTCCAAGTGCAAGCGGTAAACCGCGTTGCGTAATCGCCGTCGCGCGCGTTTGCGAAGTGCGACTTGTACTGATTACTAAATTGACGTTTTTACGCGGTGATTGCGTAGCGCTTTCTCTCTCGCGTCTGCGGGCAATTAAGTAATTACGTCGCGAGACGATGATGTACGACTGGGGTGCACTGGTTCAGGCGAGAGAAAAGTGTATCGCGCGAAAAGATTCGGATAATTCGAAGGAAAGTCCGTCAATGAGAATGATGATTGTTACTTTTCCTCCATCCTTTACGGAAAAGTAACTGAATGTCAGTAATTAAATCGTTAGAAATTACTGATGTACAGTAATTTTGCTTTTGCGTTGTTTTTCCATGAGGGCGAATCCTACACTGAGAAAAATTTCCATCGGATAAATCCGTTTGTTATTATGTAACATTGGATTACCCGATTATATTTAATCGGACATTTTTCTCAGTGTACTGATTAGTCCTCTCGAGTGTGTCCCAACGTCACGTTCGAAGTTGAGATATCAAGCGAAAACTAAACGTAAAGCACCGCCTAAAGTTCCATCAAAGAGCCGTAAAGTCAAACAGATTAATAGCCTTCATTTTCGTCCCGCGACTAATTAAGTGATAGAAATTTCGCGTTTTACCGCGCGTCTAGAAGTCGTGAATTTACATTAGGATTAATGAACATGTGTTTTGGCACACCTACTTCTCCCGCGGCGAATTGAAATACACGTTACGAAAAGAATCTCGATCGATGATCCGATTTGATAAACAATGCGAGAAACTTTTACCTCACTTGAGCGCTTGTCTCGCTTAATAGACGTGCTGTTCGACGAACGAGACACTGACACAGTACCGATTAGTTCTCTTCCGCATAGCTTGAATTCAATTGGATCTCGGAACCAACGCGCCAAGAAATTGGACCTCGCCTCGTGTCGGCGCGGCGAGGTCCTCGAAGCGAGCGCTGAATCGTTTCGGTAATCGTGTTACCCGGTTTTCGCGGTTCCAAACGTCGTCGTTTAAACGAACAGCACATCAAAGGAGACACATAGCCCAGAGCGGATGCGGCTCTGGCATGCTAACTGGTTTCACCGTCGGGGTGTCGATCGACACGACGACGGTACCGTCGTGCAATGGCGAGGATCGTTGTTGCGCCCCTCGTGTCCCATCAATCGGTGCGTCAAGGCTCGAATTTCTTTCGTCGTACTAAAAACAAGGCGAAATTAAAGCCGCGGGCTCGCAGTCGTCGAGCGAAAAATAATCGCGACAGCGTCGTTAGGCGATGGAGATAGTCTACGCATCGGCGAACATATTAAACAACGAGTAGTTTATTGGGGAGCTGACCCGACCGCTGAAAGTATTGCTCCAATTAGCGCGTGATTAACAAAATGAACGAATTATTTGCCGAGGCTACACGGCACGAGAGACCACCCGCATAGGTGCAAACATTGATTGTTAATGCAATCAACATTGGAGTCGACCGCCGGAATCAACATGCGTTGCTCTCTCGTTGCCTTTGTTGATTTTTGAAATAAATTGTTTACCTGGGTACGTCGTGCGATGTTTAAGTATCTGTTTCGTGAAGAAAGAGGCAAATAACAGAATATGTTTGCGCGCTTTAATAGTTAACGAACACACATAACACAAATAGGGGGGTGAGAAATTATGCTGCATGAGATAAAAATCTCCCGAGTCTGTACACAGAACTGAGTAAAATTCGAAACAACAATTGTCCCATTCGTTGCGAGGGTGACGAAGGGGGGGGGGGGGAAAGAAAAAGAATGCACACTCGTGTGCGCGTGTATGTACAACAGTGTGTTCGAACCGGATATGCATCCGCACTCGTGTCGCCGCGTGTGTAAGTCTCCCAGGTGTGTCTGTGCAGCGTGTATGCTCGGCGGGTAAAAGATACTAATTGCAATTCAGTAACGATCAGCGGCGATCGTTGACTTGAAAAGTACACGGGCACTAAAAAACACATGGTCGCTTTGGGCGAAGAGACCGACGGGCGGGCGGGCGAGGGGGAGAGTGGGTGGGCGTTGGATTGTGTTTAGCCGAGAACGATAGTAATGAATAACTTTCAGCGGAATTACTGAGTAAGACCTAGAGGTAGTACCATTTTCACTTCGGATAGGGAGCTGATACTCAAGACGTACATGGTGACGCCCACCTCGACGGGAGGACCTGAAATCGAACGTTAGTAAGACTGAGTCGCCGGTTTTCGGCCGCGGCCAAGCTACACGGTGAGAGTGACTGTATGGCATTCGCTCGTTAATTGCAAGTATCGCATGTATTGCTTTCATTCTTTCGTTCTTTTTCGGTACTTTTTTTCTATGAGTTTACTGTGAATGCGAAATGGTATGTTGGTGAGGTTCGCTACGTTGGATGGATCGCTGAAAGTGGTAATCGCTTTCGATTAGACGATGTCCGATAATAATTTATGCGCTAATTTACGTGTGCTCGGTTGTAATCGTAGTCGACGCAACGACGATAAGGCTTTTAATCCCTCTATGCGGCAGCGCTGTGACGCGCTCTGTGTCGCACGGTTTGTGTTTTACGCGCTCGGACTTGACCGGGGCAAATAAGTTATTGCAAATTTATCCGAAGCCAAGTCAGTAAAAGGATATCGAAAAATTATAATACTTTTTCTTTTTTTTTTATATATTATCTTATATTATCTTCTCGTCCCGGGGTTGCGAGTACTTTTTTCCATTAAAGTTTAATACAGCTTAATAAAATTTTGTAATAAAATTTAATGACTTTCAGTTGAGGTACATCCGTTAAGTTACGTGGCCATAAACAATCGCTTACGCTCGCGTATTTCAATATGCGACGTGACATAAGCTATTTCGCCCGTAATCCTTGCGAAATCTAAATTCAAAGACCCGACGAGGGTTCGTGAAAATTTCAGCAGTCCGTAGCAGATGTGAGGCACGAAGTCGGCTGCCGGTCGAATTGATCGGCCGCAAAGACGAAGCGGAAAAATGTAATCGCGCCCGATCAGGCGGTATCTCACCATAGAAAAGTTTATGGACGAAATTTCGGGCAGAGGGCGAAGGAGGGCGGGAAGTCGGGCGCAGACGGAAAGAAGCGGTTGCCGGGGGGTCGGCGGGGCCGAGGGGGCGATGGGAAAAGGGTTGGGGAATGCGAGGCGCATATACGTGTCCACGTTTGGCGATAAAGTTGACTCGTAAACAACGGCTCTGCCAACGCCATCGCGCGCCACTCGACCAATATATCTTCATTTCCATTTCTAGGATGTTTTTAAAGCCCCTATAGCCGAGGAACATCCCATATAGGACACATATTTCACAATGACGTTCTCGCGACATGTTGGAAAACGCACGGCCGACGTGGTATCGAGTTAATTGAAACGCGCCAGTATGCTTCTCCTGTGCAAACCGATCGCCCGTGAGAGAGCATGTTCCGAAAAAAAAAAGATTAAAAACTATTCCAGACACATGTGATGCAAGTGGAAAAGAACAAAAATTAATAATCGGCCGTAGGATCAAAAAATTGCAGTCGTCAACCCCGCGTGGCCCGAAACTACGAAGTTTCTTGTATTTATGTATTATTTCTTTTTATTATGCGTCATGTAATATCGAGTGTTACATTGAATTAAATTAAACACATTATCCTTAATAAACTGTAAACAGCCTATATGTTTTTCTCGTTATTCTCGCGAACAGAAAAGTACTTGGTAACTACATTAAATATTCGCCACGTATATTTATGAAAGAAATATAAATAACATAAAGCGTAAAATCCCATTGTTTTAATTAATTTGTTTGTTTGCAATTGTATCCGAAGCAACGTTGCGCTTGAGCGCTGTGGAGTTTCTTTTTTAACGCAAACGCGAAAAGTTTTTGTTTATCATTACGACAGAGCGAGTTTATGGAGTGCAAACATTCCGAGTTTCTCGTCACGTATTTTGTCATTTTACGTAGGCCTTGGATGGCAGCGGCGTAGCTTGTGTTTGAAAATCCGGCTGCGCTCCGGGGAATATCCAATGAAGCACTACGAATCGAAGAGAGCAGCGGCAGGCGGCACGTTTTATCCCGTTCGTCCGCGATATTCTCGTGTCCGTTTCCGTAATGTCCGCGTACCGATCTAAATTTTAAATGTTAGAAACTCGTATCTCCCCCGAGGATCTCGCGTATCGATATGCGGGAGCGGCAAGAAGCGGATATCGGCGATTCGAATCTAGACGGTACATTTAGCGCACTTTTTTGCGATCTGCCGATAGCAACTTGTATACGTGAGCCCGAAAAATGAAACGGTCGTCTTTTATGTCTGACAGCCAGCCCGAGTTTACCGCGGGGTGAGCTATCTCTGATGCATTTTCCTAATGCACGTGTACCTTGGGAAGTCGAGCTTGTGTATTTTTACCGTGATTTCCACGACAGTGATTGCGACAGTGAGGCCTGTTGTACCGGAAGCTAGTTGGCAAATTGTGAATTGTTTTAATGTTGGCGAAATAATGCCCGCGCCGTTGCAGAGAAATAAATTGAATAATATTCATATAATATAGACAGCTTGCATGTTCAACAATTGCGTGGAATGTAATTAAATAATAGTACGCTGAATGCATATTTATTTTATCGCGCACTGAGAATTCATATAATTGCAATTTGTAATTTTAACCATCCTCACACGAATTGGCGTTTTTAATTATTCAGTTGTAACCGCATTTTCGACTTTTATATATCTGACCTATAATAGCAACGATTATAACTGCGGGCGCGAGAATATCTGCGCAGGCTAGTAAATATCGGTAAACGTTTTTAGCTTCCTCGTAAATGTAGGGCTAAAATGATTCTCGGTCAATCAAGCCGCGAATCCTTTTTAGGCGGGAGAAATAGAGCAGCTGTATGAAACAGAGGCATTAACGTCTTTGCAATCGCGACGCCGGGCCGAAAGTGTGAGCGCGGTTCTGAAATGGGATCCGGGACAAAAGGGGCTGCCGAGACGCGGCGACAAAATCAAAGTCAAAATCGTAATTGAAGGCGAGATACTGCGTCTCTGTGTAGTCGGAGCGGAGATGCCGTTAAACGGTAACCCGTGGCAACCCGTGGGGCGTCCCAGCATCGATCCGAGTTTTATCGAAACGCTCCAGCCCCGCCCTACCTCCGCGAGGCCATCCCCGAAAATATGACTCTTTCGCGGCGGAGTCATCGACGTGTATGAATCGCGATCGTAATCGTAGCGCCGTATCGGTACCATCGGTCCCGCGAACCGGTCTGAATCGCGCGCGGGGACTCTTTCGCCCGGGCCTATCGAGCCGAAAGTGGGCCGGACCGTCCATTGGCAGGCGCTAATTGCCTCTAACTGACTCTCGAGTGGCGAGCGTGCTCACTCGAAACTGGACTAATGGCTCTTTAATATCCCTATGTTTTATAAGCATCGCGTTTATTCGGCCGCAAAATCGTATTGCGCTCGCAGTCGATAAACGCCTGGCGTTTATTTGAAACCGGCCGTTCGCGCAGAACGTCGCTACCCATAAATTACGTGGCGACTGTACTTTGCGGATTGATCAGGGGGCTAAAAGAGCACGCCTCGCGCTTTATACTTTTATCTCCGGGGAGTCACGTGCCGTTCCTATCTCCGCGATAGAAACGCGCTGTCTGCCGCATCGTTTTATCGGTATTTCTTTTTTGGTAGTTGCGCGGTTGAGCCGCGTGGTAAACTGCAAATTACTCCTTTGCCGAGAAACAGGATGCGATTCGCGTACACGTGCTGCCGCACTGTTCCTGTCAGAGTTGTTTTATGAAAGCGGTGGTACGCTCGAAAGCTCGTCGTTTTTGTAGGGTAAAACGTGGGAGATGATAAGCGACGTCAAAAATATTTCCTCGAGCGTTTTGCCGAAGCTTTAGTTGTTGCGCCGCGCCATTGTTACAGCGATCCGAAAGCTCGCGTTTTACGTCTTGATTTATCGCGTATCGATTTCGTGCATTAAATGTTTTTACGCGAATCCTGCGTACGTTTATCCACCGTCTTCCGTTCTTTAGTTTCTTTTATCTCCGCACTGCATTAAAGGATGGAATACGGTACCAGTTATTTTTTTCTATCCGAGCACACGTAAAAAGCTTTTTCTGCGCTTGCAGCGAACGAAGTGGAATTAAAAGAGTCGTATGCTGGTTTTCTGTTCGTCCGCCAATTGATTGGTTTTGCCCGTGTGTCAATATTTGGTCTCTTTCGTCATCTAACTCCTTCATTTTCGTTAGCTGCAAGGTAACGTTTTAGAGCTCATGTAATAGTGCAACGATCATAAACAATGAGACGGGAAAAGCTTCGTGCCGAACGCAAAACTTGTTCGGGGACGCATATTACCTCACAGGCGCGAATCAATTGAAATTGATTGACGTTGGTCAAGTAAACCGTACGTACTGAATTGACAAGTTTTGCGCATGGTATCAAAATTCACGAATGATCTCGTTTATCGTAGGACGTGGGAAAGTCTCCACTCACCTCCGTAGTTCGGCCTTACTCTTTTATCGTAACTGACAGAAAAGGAGTCCAGTATCGCAGAGATGTTCACGTCGCCCAGCATACTGCCGCCGGCAGTTCTGTAAGCAGACAAAAATTTCCTATTTCACATTTTTCTTATAAGAACCCACATTTTTTAACTATAGTAATTACAACGCCAGTGTTTTCCTGACCATACCTGGTATCTTTAATAGTACAGAAAGTTTATTGCGAAAAATATTACCTCCGCCAGGGTTTCAACCTGGACCTCCCCACGCTCTAGGCGGGCGTGTCGCCAATTCGACCACCGAGGCATATGATAATATTTGTCTTTAAATAGAATAAATATTTACTTCCGTATAAAAAATAATTTTAAGTAAATCTATTTACTTAGTTCAAAACTTTTTTTGTCAGTGCAGAATACGCGATTTTTAAATTTGCCCCCCCCCCCATGTAGTAATTACAACCTTTTTACACGTTTCTAGCATTTATCCATATTTAACCAATATTTCCTGTTAACAATAAGCTCGTTAGAGTTAACAGAATTCTTTCGAAGCAGATCTCGATCCAGTTATATTAAACTGGCACTATAGATTGCGTATAACAATACGAGCATCCTTTCTTCAGAGGATCCTCTTTTGAGAATATCTCCCTTGCGTTGCAAACAATATCACAATTTATTTGTTATTATAACAGTCGTATATGGTAATCGCAATTCACTTAATTTCCTAAACTTCAGTGAAGCATTTTGGCGACGTTGCATAGTTTTGCAGTCTAGGCAAAGAACTTGGAATTGTTATTGTCAAAGTAGCCTGTTGCAAATCGTATTACCAAACCTTAGGTCGTCACAAACTCCTGAACTGATATAGACACTGGTATTAGCATTCGAAAGACAAGAGAGAAGATATTGTAACAGCCTGTATGACATACACGACCGTGAGAGGTAGATACGCCCAAGGGTCTGGAGCATAAAGTACAGCGGGTCTGTTCTTGACTTAACGGGTCAGTAGATACGGATGGTCTCGGTCAGCCAAACAAACGGCCCTTGAATCCGCGAGCTGATATGGCTCCGCAGTACCTAGAGAGCCCCGATCTAATGGCTACAACGGCGCAGCGGCAGATTCCGGTTCCGCTAAGTGGAGCAACTCAATCCGAAAACGTTTTCTGCTTGGCTCAGCGGGCTGACCAAGATCGTACCGTAATCACTTGGCGCGGTGTTGATTCCCGGATCACACGAGGCCACCGTATGGTAACGACCTTGGCTGGATCACGCAATATTCGATATACATAGGTATCTCGAGTCGCGCGAATCGCTGTGAGTGCTTTAATCGGAACAAACGAGACAGCAGAAGTCACATTGCGCGGGTGCACGTAATCTTGGTTTACTTTACGGTCTGCATCTTGCATTGAAAATAATTGCCTCTCTTCAATTTTTGCAATGAGACGTCACGTTTTTCGATATAAATCGGGAACTTTAATTCCCACGAACATTGGTGTAATAAGAGACTCGTTTACGTTGACTTATGTTGTCTGATCCAAATCATCTGAAACTACTGCATTTTGGCCTATTAAGTAAATGTAAGGCAATGTAGTAAATAGAATGTTGAGAAGAGATAGCGTAATGAGGTAGCGTATATTATGCTGATTACCAGTAGGAATCTTGCGAAACTCCATTAGTTACTATTAATCGCGCTAACAAAAGTGATTAGTTTGCAAATATAAACGCGCTCGCGCGCGCGCGATGTGTCTGATAGGAGTCATTGATAATTTCTGTGAATTAGGTTAATAATAGTGCGGTGCGTACTTGATTCGTGCGTTACCCCGTATCATTGACCAAAACAGACGTAAGAAAAGCCTTGACCCTACACCCAATGTACATGTGAGTCAGCAGAATGTCCGAGAGACGTATCGTACATCAGGTTGCGCGCATAGTCCTACAATGCAAGTAAGTAAACCTGGCGAGCTTGTAAAGTGTTGCACGAATTAGACTAATCAAGATCGTGCATGTTTGCCGCGTTCTATTCCACTGACCAAGATTCTAAGCGTGAGTTATACGAGCTACAATGTGTCCCCGCGATTAGGTTCACGGGATTTTGTAATCAATTATAAATCAAGGAAATAACCGCTGTCTAAGTACCCGGACTACTTTGTGATTCAAAGCGTCAGGCTTTTTAGCCGTGAAGGCCCCGATTGCCATTCCGAGATTATATCTGTTGGTTTATGCGAGAGTAAAAGTTTTGAAAATTAATACTACTCTAAAATTCTATACTTACTATCGATTACTATTATGCGATAGATTGCGTCGGCAATCCTTTATTGATAATTTCTTGAGGCTTTTTAGTCGTAAAGGCCCCAAATGCCATTTCGAGATTATATCTGCTCGTTTATGCGAGAGTAAAAGTTTTGAAAATTAATATAATACTACTCTAAAAATATTAAATTAAAAACAAAAAATTTGAGAAGAGCTGCTATAATTACTTTCAATTACTATTACGTGATAGATTGCGTCTGCAATCCTTTACTGATAATTTCATTATACAATTAATAACATACATACTGTGTATATAACACATTATATTCAGTTATATTTTTGTGAAACACTTTAAAACAGGGTTCAATAATCTTAATGTAGTACCTTTAATCGTTTATACGCGTCCCGGAAAGAGCTTTATCGAGTAATTCGTTGCAACCACCATAAGTATCTATATCTAAGTTTCGAGAAACGATATCTCATAACGAAGAACTCGCTGGCAAGCCGCGATAATAGGTCAGAGGTTAGTCATATCGATTGGACGCAGATATCTACTCTGGGAACAAGGGTGCGAATAATGGGGTGTAGATGATATCATGTAAATACACGCGCGAAAATATAGATAGACTGTTTCTCGGCACATCACGAGGAATCGACTTTATTTCCGTAAGATTGCTGCTTAAAATATTTTCTATCAATAAAGAGAAATATTGTTATCCAAAAATTTCGAAGCCTATTACACCATTATGCGTAATCGAGAGGAATCAGTAAACTGTTTTATTTAAAAAGTATACAGGTTTGAGAATATTGCATACCTGTTAGTACACATATCTCATATTTATTGTAATTATGCATACAATTAATTCCGTTAAATGTCATGTCAATTAATCAACATATCGTACGCACAATTGCAAAGAAAACAGAGCATTTGATCAAAATAGTATTTCAGTGTTTCATTTCTAGGGGTTATTTTGTCACTTTTGTTAATGGAATATGTCATATAATGGAGTTTTTCTTCGCTTTAAATCAATATTTCGACGTATTACCCATAAACGTTTGTATATGCGTAAGTGTATAAAGGTTCCGCCGCCTACAAGCTCCTTTAATAAATTT